GTAAATTCGGTGAAGAGCTGCCTGAAAGGAGCAGGATAATTGCTTCAGCTGAAAGGGGGGTTACCCGTGCAGTTCCTCGAGTTTCTGCCTCAAAAATTACTCTGCTTAACATTTGCCTTAATGATCTTGGCACAAAAAGCAGGAGAAGGCAAAGGAAATGTGCTGATGAGGCAAAACAAGATGGCATCATCAATCTAGAACAGGCCAGGATATCACAGAGAAAGATTATAATGACCTTGAGGGTTGGAGTAACAGAGAAGGGATTCGAGTCAGCAGAGCAGACTGTGAGTGTGCTGTTGGGAACAAGGGAGAGCAGCAATGGCCATTCCAGTTTGGGAGCCTGTCAGCTGGAAATGGCTGGGGCAGGGAAAGACCCACAATACACATCACAGGACTGTGCCATGACCCTGGTGTTAAACAGCATGAGAAGAGTCAAATGCAAAGAACTTGGGTTGAGGGGTTGGGGAAACGAGGGACTGATCCATGTGAAGGCACCAGAGTCAGCCCCGGGGCTGGAAGGAGGTGCAGTGGGCACTGCTGGAGTGGGGACACGCGGCTACAAACTGGTTGGGAATACCAACAGAGGGTTGGGTTTCCACATGAAAGAATTTTGTCTTGCAGGTTTCTGACCCCAGCAGGGCAGACAAAAACCAACCACGCTCATGTGGATATCAGTCCTGCTGTGCAACCAGCACGGTCCAGAACCCATCCAGAATCCATCCAGAATGGAGGTGGGATCTTCCTTCTCAGTGTGAATGGTTTGTCTTTACAAGAGCCTATTCACAGAGGTGGTTTAGAGTCCTGTTTCAAAAGGTGTCACTAACAGCAATGTTGTTTTGGAATCCAGTGTTCTACAGGGCTGTACAACCCCCGTGAGCCCGGGCAGGTGGCAGCTGCCTGCTCCCATCCCCAGGACAAGCACCAGATTCACTTGTTCCGTTCCAGGACTGCAGGTGGTTTCAGTGGTTGTGGCTTTTTGGTATGTGATTAACTGTTTCCCTCTGAAACTGCTCTGGCTTGCTCAGCTCCACCATTCAGTCTGGAATCACAGAATAATAACACTTCTTCCAAATCTCCTTTTTTGGACACTCCCATCTCTAACAGCCCCTCTTTCTCTGCCCTGAAGGAGCAGGGCTGAGGCAGAGTCTCTGGTAGTGCAGACACCCCAATCTCCTAAGCTGACCTCTTGCTGCTCCAGTTCCCCAGGAATGAATTTAGTTTTACAACAAACTAAACGTTTACAACTAACATTTTACTCTTCCCATTCACTGCATGTACCCATCCCAGCATTCCAGCCTTGCTGCCACATCCCCAGGAACATGTCAACATCTCTGTAGTGCCTAAGCACAACAAAATCTCCTTTGGGATCATCAGGGGTTTCTATTTCTCTGCTTTCAGTTTCCTTCAGACACTTCTCTCTGATCATCTCCTGCAAGTCCTTCAGAGTTTCCTGGGCTGCCTCACTGCTGAGTTGAAAGATTTGTATAAACACTATTTTAAATTTTCAGGCTTTTTCTATTGACTTCCTCTTTCTCTGGAATCTCCCTTTCGAATTTACTGGTACAAGATTAATTCTGGGGTCAGCTTGTACCCCTTTCCTTTTTGACCACAGGATGTAGGACTGACTCACACTTGTAGGGAGGGTTACTTAATAGTCCCTCTCTTCTATCCCCCCTGGTCTGTGAACCCCAACACCCACAGCATCCCCCACTTCCACAGCCCAGCCACAAAGCTGGCTCTTTGGACACTCTCTCCCGCTTTTCAGCTGAGGGGAACTGATTTTTCCTTCTGTGAATTCCCCAGGGAGAGCACTCTGGATTATGGCCCCAGCAGGTAACACACTGTCACACCTCTGCTTTGCTTTTAGGACCAGGCCTGGAGGTAATGGCCACCATTAGCCCTTTCCCATCCTTTTAAGAGCCAGTTCCTTCCTGCAGACTCCATGTCTGAACCCTGCTGGGTGTAATTCAGCGTGACAAAGCCTTCTTCTCCCAGGAGAGGTATCACTCCTGATTCAAAGTGCTCTTTAGTGTGAAATCTGCTTTCTACCCTGGGCTAAATGCCTCAGTGCAGTCCCAGGGTGGGTTCCCCTCTGTGCCCAGAGCCCCTTCAAAAAGCTGACCCTGCTACTCCTGAAAATGCCTTGCAGTAAGATGGGAGAAGAGTCCAGAGAGTGCAGAGAACCAGAAATAACAAAACATAGCTGAGTCTTGCACCTGGGCCTGTCTTTTGCCCATAGAGCTGTGTGAAAAAACCAGTTTGACCTGGGATTTTGGCCACCAAGGACTCAGCACAGCTGTCCCCATGCCAGGTCAGCGTCCCCACCACAGTCCCCAACACCAAGAGCAGCAGGCTGGGAGCACATGTGACAGTGGCAAATTCAGGGTGCCAGCCTAGAGCTCCATGCACACTCCTGAGGTTGGAGCACAAGTGCCAGGGATGCTCTGGGAAGGACACAGGCAGTTGGCAGCTGCCTCCAGCAAAAGAGAACAAATATCTGGAGCACAAGAGCCAACAGACCTTGCTGGCTCAGAGGGCACGAGGCTGGAGAGAAGCAAAGGAGCAACACAGACACAGGGATTACAGCCTGTCTGCAAGGAGAAAGAGGAAGGAGCTTGCTTTGTGTGCAATTCTGCAACAGCAGTCTGTGAGGGCAAGATGTGAACTCATCCTGTTGCTGGTAGATGGACTCCTTAGCAGCAACAGCAGCACAGGGAGGAAAAGGTCAGGATGACTCAGGGATGATCCACATAGGCAGTGGTGTCCACCTTCCAGAGCCAAGTCACCCCTGGATCACCCGGGTGACTGGAATCTGAACTGGCTGGTCTTTAAGGGACAGGCCCCAGGAGAGGATGTGCTGTCCCCAAGGACTGAACAGCATTTGCTCACTGCCATGGCTCAGCTCAGGAGCATCGTGATGAGCAAGAGTAACAGTTCCCATCTTAGGTTTCTGTGAGGGAAGGGAGAGGCCCTTGGGGTAAGAGCAAGTGGTTTTTCAGAGAAAACACAGAAAGAGGGCTGGGGAGAGTCATCAACTTCCACACAGAAGATCAACACTCACCACTCACTCTAGGAACGGAATTCCTCGCTCTCCAGGTGATCTCCCAGCACTTTCTCACTGTTGCAGCATTTTTCTTTGCTGTAGTTTGAGACCAGAACATCATGTCCTTTCCAGCCTGAAAACAAAGGCTGAAATTGTTCAGTGACCCTTGTTAGACTGTTCTCAGGCCTCTCTCACCCTCTTTGCACTACACACCACGATTCTTCCACGCTCTGCAAATTTAACAGGCCAATGCGTGTTACAAATAGCATTAATAAAATATCACATAGCACAGGAGTTGTGGGGTCCCACATGCTCCTGGCAGTCATGGATGGAATCCACTCAGAAGGCCATTTCCACAGTCTGACAATGACAATGAGGTGTCAGAACCAATAGAGGATTTTTTTTGTAATTTGGGGAGCTGGCTCATACCCACGGGACTAAGCTGTGCATGCAATAATCACTTCTCGGAATATAGTGCTTGCAATTTTTGAATCCCCGTCAAGAATGATGTCAAGTTAAACTCCAGGAACAGAACAGGAGCAAGTTCATGGCAGTGTGGGAACATAGGAATTGGCAGAGATTCCAAAGGAGCGATGCAGGGTTTCCCAGCCAGGTCTTTCTGAGCACGTCTGAGCTGTGCACAGAGCAGCATCACAGCACCCTCTGCTGCCTGCTGGTCCTCACGTCCTCACCAGGGAGCTGAGTTGGGCTTTGAGCTGACAGCACCATCAGATAAACACCTCATTCTTCAGGGTGACAAATCTTGTAATTACCGATTAGAACTGTGTTCTCTTCCCTGCCTTAGGGGAAAACAGGACTCAGGCTTCTCATACTTCCATCAGCTGAAGGAGAATCTCACATCCAGTGGTCAATACTGCAAGTGAATGTGAGCATCAGAAGCACCAGCTTACAAGGTTTAATTGCTGCAAATATTTATTCAGGCTTTAAACTAACACCCCAGCGTCACTTCTCTTCGCAGTGCATCCAACTCCACCTGTGGTTGTGCAAGCATTTCTCCTGCATATCCCAACTCCTCTTGCCCCATCTAAATCATTCCAATATCCATTAAGTGTGCAGGAACACGCTGCTGCACATGAGCAATGCACAGCAAGAACACGTGTGAGCCAGCTGGCAGCAGGGTGGCCTTGTCCTTTTCTTCACTGGGAAATACAGGACCAAGTCCAAAGAAATAAATCAGTGGTGCACATGGAGCAGTTCTCTCCCTCCATGCCCTATACCATGATGCAGCTCAGATACAACAGCAAAAGGAAGCCCAGGCATGTGTGAAGGATGAGGGCACAAGCTCAGTTGTCTGTGGCAAGACACATGCAAAAAAAAAAGAGGGAACGGGAAAAGAAGAACCAGGGAAATCCCAGAACTCCTCCCCACCATCAAATCTGAGAATGCCATGCTCAGAGTTGCTTTGTGCTGTTTCCCTCTAGGACCATCTCCTAACTGATATAGGACATAGTTCACTGTCCCAAATCCTGGCCAGTGCTCCCTCCCTAACCCTGGGACCTTTTGGCAGCATCTGCCTCATCCTTCTGGCATCTCGAACAGCTTCTCCCTCTCACACACAAGGCTTCTGCAGACAGCTCAGAAACTATGTAACAGCCAATAGTCTGCAAACATCACGTGCCAGATAGAGCTATGAGAGAATTAGCACACCCCAACCCACCCACCCAAGGCAGCGATTGCTCCCAGGGCTGGGAACATGCTCGGGGTCACTTATGTCCCTCTCCACGTGTGGCTGCCACGACTGGTACAAGCCTGACACGGAGCTGGCTGCAGTTGCCATCCCCCACTGTGCTCAGCCTGGTGCAGATCCGTACAGAGGAGATGTGTGTGTTTGTTCTTCAAACCTGCCTTGTTAATGTTGTAGGAATATTGACACAACATTCCCCTCAGAGCTGTTACTAGCAAGTGGAAATTGAAGCTTTTTATTGAACTTTTTTTTTTTTTACTCTTAGCTTTTAGAACAAGATATTTAGCAACATTAACATTCATTTTTACATCACGTCACATGCTACTACTTTAGCTGCAGCTGCATATTGTCTGCTTTCCCACAAGCCCTCAGAGTGAAGATTTATGGTGGAACAGACAATTAAACACACGCAAACCTGAAAAATGCAAGTGGGTTTTACCAATGAGGCAATTTGCTGCATGCATTTCTCCATCAGAAACAAGTCCAACTTCAGCAGACACCAACAGCATCTTTTGTCTTTGTCTAATTTGGGAGTTTCTGTGTTACACAGAACTGGGAAGTCAGTTAATGTATGCAAAGTTTGCTCGAGCAGCAAAAGCAACAGCAAGTGCTTCATCTAGTCAGAGACTGTAAGAGCAGAAGCTTTTCATTCCAAATAAAGGATTCCCCCAGGAATGAGAGGTATTTGAAGATGTCCACTTCTACATCTGGAATTAAAAGCTGAGATTTCTCACAGAGAAATGCAAATCAATTAAGTGATCCAAGAAATGTTTGGGGAGGAAAAGGAAAATATTTGGCAGGCAAACACTAAAATGTTGAGCATCTCTGTGGGAGTCGTGCCCCATGGACCAGACCAAAAACATAATTATGCTATTGTGTAGGTAAACACCGAGTTTGTGTACAATTTTCTCATCCCAAACACCTCCTGGGCACTTGCTGCCTCACATCCTTCCTCCAGCAGTACAGCACCACACTGGTAAGTCAGTGTGTGAAAACACCTGGGGGAGGAAGGTTTAGCAAAGTGTAAAGTGTCTCTTCAAAAGTGCATAAGCAGTAAACAACACTCCTCTGGGTTTGCATGTTTACCATTGTACCCAGAGACACTGGTCACGTTTTACAGGGGCAGTTTCAGTGCTCCCAGCTGATGTCTCTGCCTGGAGGCTGAATGGCACCTCTCTGACCACAGTGCCATGTCCCCCAGACAGAGCTGCCCAGGTGTCCTCATATAGGTCCATTCTACAGCAGCCAAAAAGAAGGCCACCAGTCCTACCAGTATGGCAAGGAAATGAGATGCTTCAAATGTAGATGACATCTGAATCATGCTGCTGAACCTGCAGGCAAATCAAAGAGGCAAAATTAGTTCCACCTTAAAGTAACTCCCTTTGGTCTGGGTCTTCCTTTACCTCCAGCTCTGGGGCCTTTTGCAAGATGCCCTGCAATATTTTTTTTCTTCTTTCTTTAAACCAGTGTATTTGCCTCACCCCTGTCACCTGGATGAAGTTGGCCTTAAAAGTCCCTTCTGTTATTTGCCTCAGAAAGAGCTGATCCCTCATCTGTTGCTACACTCAACTATGTTCCTTCTAATCACACAACTCTGAAGATTGAAGTATTGAATGTTCTATACTAGAGCTTCTAACTGATCCTGAACCCCCTCAGTTTTGTTCATATAAACCAACAGCAAATACATCAAGCTTTCTTCATTCCCAATACCTTGCACAAATAGCATTCCCTACAGAAAAGCTGATTTCTTTCTCAGTGTTCAAGACCACACACCCTTCTTGATTCTCCAGTCCAGCGATATCTAAAAGCAGGTTGTTTTTTCATAAAACCCAGCTTATAGCTCTTCTGGACTCTTTGACAGGGAGCACATGGAAGAGAACTGATCTGTTGGAAGTCTGAGTATTTATTGTGTCTTCCTCCCTGCCTTTTAAAACCAGAAGACAGTCTGTTTTAAGTTCTCTGTACCTGGGGGCACATTTCTCATTTCCAAGCCTGGCTGATACAAATTAAATTTAACACAGATCCTCCTACTGTGTATGGGCATCTCTGCTTCATTTACCAATGCTTACAGCTTTGCATTCCAGCTTAGATCATAAGGGAGAGAAAACAGGTGGCCTCAAACACTCCCAAATGATGTGCCAGCAGAGGGTCTCCAAAATCATGCAACAGCCTTGCACTGACTTGTCTTCTGAGAGGCTGTGACAGAGCTGGGCAAACCAGGTCCCTACAACCAGCCATTGTCTCTGAACTCTAAATTTTAGTCAACATTTGGGAATTTCCTTACAAATCTGATTACCTTTATAATCTGTTTTCTGGTTTCTGTGCCCACACTGTTGGCAACCAATGAATTTGCTTGAGAAGATGACTTTTCCATTGGCACTGTGTGCTGAATTTTGTTGGTACAAGGCCAGCTGCTTGCAGTGTTTAACAAGTAAGTAGGGAAAGGTCTTTGAAGATTTATATCCAATGAATCTCCAGCTTCAAAGGTTTTCATCCATGATGGGGCCTTTAAAAGAAAAGAGCACATAGAAATTTAATGCCCTCTCTATATCAACACTCATTAAGCCAAAAAGAACATCAGATGAATAGTCAGGAAATAAAGGCCATCTTTCCTCATAATTTTTCCAAGCCTCCCATCTCTCTTTAAAACTGTTGACTCAGAGCCATTTTTGCTACATGTGGAACAACCTGCAGACACAGCCAACCCTATTATTACACTGCTTCAGGAAGAAGTGTTTATATAAATAACAAGCAACTTATGACAAAAACCTGAGTCTAGTTCCTCATTCCTTAAAAAAAAAAAAAAATACACACCAAGACTTTATGACTTTAGCAACCACAAAGCACATGAATGAGAATGTGATGCAAACTATAGGGAACCACATTTAAATGTGTTAGTTACAACAATTTAGTTTGCTGCAAGACCTTAACCCTTATTGTGATTTCGTAATCTGTAAAATAAGCTGATTATTTCTTGCTCGTGGTACTGGTATCACGCCCAGGAAAAACCCCTTAGATTTTGTTTTGACATGAATTTTCCTCCTCTGTGTTCATGCTTTTGATGTTTTACTATCAGGGTTACTAAAGCCTTGAGCTGAAATACAGCAGCTACCTTTGGCACAGCCACACTGTTCTTCTTTATGGTCCCTGCTGAGGAAAGGGGCAGGGGTTTAGGGTACGTACGTTCCCTAAGGAGCGATCCAAGGAGCCCAGGACTTCATTCCAATGGGAGTAAAGCCCAGACTGTTTTTCTTCTAGCTTCAAAGCATGGATTTCAGACTTCAGTTCTTTCAGTCGATCTTCAAATTTTCTGCTCTTTTCTAAGTAGTCGAGCCTGAGTCCACACATGGGAGACAAAAAGCTTAGTGACACCACATAGCCCAAGAACAGGTGTGTGTGGAAGGAGGAGGGTTGTTCTCCGTTTCATTTTGGAGTTTGATAGGCAAAATGAAGTCTGGCACATGTCAGTCTGGCTCCCCTGACCCAGTGAGAAGGAGGTTCACCTTCTTCTTTTTACTTCCTAGCTTTTGACCAAACATTTCCTTCCAGACCAAGGGAGGAAAAGCCTCTGCTGGATTAGCTCACAGCAATACCACACTTTAGCACTAGAGGGAAACACCTCTCACCAGGTGTTAGTTCAGCAAAGTGCTTTGTCCCTGACATGCTGCTCCCCAAGGCAGAAGGTTCTGCACTTTTCATGGCTTGATGCCACCAGAAAACTCTTCCTGTGTGTAAATAGCTGGTCTTACACGGGCATCATCCACACCAGCTCAGTAAAAGGCCATTATGTACAAGTAGGAGGCCATCCCAAGTTATTAAAAGGATGAACTGAGATTCCCAGAGATTTCCTTTCTATACTTTCCTTGATTAAAATTCTCATTTATTTACACCACAAGCATACTGATACCTCTCTTTCTCTATCTCAAAGGATAGTCTCTTGAGGTCGATGTCCTTCAAATCCAGCTTTATGGATCCTTTGTCAAAGTTGGCCTCTCTGGTGTCACTTGGGGAGTACTGTGAGTACTTGGTCATGTGCTGAAAGAGGCAACACAAGCACTGTCAGTAAGATCTGATTGTTTGGTTTGGGGTTTATCTCCTCAGCTTCTGCAAGAATGCCCAGCTGAGCCATTTCATAAGATTCTGAGACACACAGATGCTCCTGCAGCCCTTCCCCTGTACCCAGCTGAGCTGCTGAAGTCCCCAGCCCACAGATCCAAGGGCAGAGATGTATCCTGGCTGAGAATGGAAATCCATCCTCTGCAAGACTGGAGCAGAAAAGAAAGCTGGGGCACACATCCTTAGTGCTGCCTTCTTGCTGGAGACAGCTCCATCTGCTTTGCCTGATGACACTCATGGGCAATTCCCGTGCCAGGATGACACAGCTGGTTCAGTACAACCATCTCCACAAAGTACTGCCTGATTGAAATGGCACAGAGTCAGTATTAGGCATGAAGGCAAGACAGTCTCTGCTCCCTAAGTCCCAACACCAGTCCTGTTTTTAACTTCTGTCTTGCTTTTCTTTACAGCCTGACTCACTGCCCTGAACAAACACAACTTCCATCCTCTCTACACTGTGTTTGTGCACCACTTGGTCCCTCAGGTATTTGTCCCTCACTTGGATGCTGAAATGTCACTACTCAGCTTGATGGGGGCTATAAAAATGCCATCAACATCTGACTGTCTCTGAAGATGAAGTGGTGCCCAGTAGAGCAGAAACTTACAGGACAATTAGGCCTGGTTATGTCTAAGAGTTTCTGCTTCGCCTTCCGTTCAGCCTCCCTGGCTTCATGCAGGTCTTGTTTCAGATGCTCTGCTTCCTTGGCTCTGAAAGATAAATATCCTGATGTGAATGGCTGATGATTTCCAGTATAAAGCAACACATGGATTTCAGAGGAATGCACCTCACTAGCTTCCAGAGAACAAGTCCACTACTGTGATAACTTTACCCCAAGGCATGTGTGGTAGGATGGTCACGTGGAGAACTAACTGCACACAGCATGACACACACTTTCAGAGACAGTCCTGCATAAACTGTCTGAATTAACATGTTTTTCCTATTCCTCATTTCCATGGGCTAAGCTGTGACCTGCTGATAGAGATTCTCCAGGCTGTCAGAGATCCTCCCTGAGGTGGGGAGAGGTGCAACATATCTGCTCTTTATTTTGGAAAGCTTTTTGGCAGTACCCTAAAACAAGCAGAAGGCCCTTAATAGCAAGATTAAACATCCTCTGTCAACACTGGCCTGCTCTGCATTTTCAGGCAGCACAGTGTTATGGAACATGCAAACCCTTGGAGTGGTTTACACTGCACATGAGTGTGCCTGGTTTACACTTCTCAAAGATCTGATGGGATACAAGAGACCTTCACCTGGTATTAATGAAGGAAAACAGCCTCCTAACTCACAGGTATACAGACTGGGAAATTTAGATAGTTAGGTAGCCAGTGCTCTTTTGATAACACTAAACAGAAAATGCTTCTGCATCCTGGATCTTTCCTACTAAACATCTCTAAAGCTTTGCATCTTCTCGATCTGCCTCACAACCACTGGGACCAGGTGGAACAAACAAGATGCAAGGAGGCTTAGTCACTGTGAAGTGTCACTCCAGGAACAATTCCTCCCTGCTGGGCTTAGCTGTAAGAAAAGCAGCACTCTCTGCACCCAGGCATCCCTCGTGAGACCACACAGCCCCATCAAGCAAACCCCACCTGCGGTCAGACTCCTTCACCAGCTTCACTGCGATCAGCTCTGCCTCCCGCATCTTCTGCTCCATCAGGCGTTTCTCCTCCTTGGTTTTCAGAGCTGTGATCTCCAGCCTCTGTCGCTCCTGCTCGGCTTCTGCAGCGTTCTGGGCCAGCAGTTTTGCCTCTTCTTCTGCAATCTGAGCCTTCTCAGCCAGCAACTCTGCTGCTTCCTGGGATCGAAGCTGAGAAGAAACAATTTTTCTTAGTTCCTTGTCTGGCATCTCCAAAATCACCCCTGCAGTCAGGCAGGAAGAAAGTATCTTTTCCCAAAAGATCAAGTGATAAAAATGTTATTTCTTAAATAAAAATTAAATATAATTGTAGGGTCTGGTGTTCCTCCTCTGCTCCAGAACTTCCTGCCTCTCACCTCTACAAAGCAAGGAGACACATGCGCATAAAGCTGGACAAAGGTATTGACCAAAAATTGAAGTCAGTCCCTTCACTTGCTACTGCACTGTGCCCCTTTCTCCCAATTTCAGCTCCAAGGTTGCTTCCTTTCTCCCCCCTTTGCCTGAACAAACCACTTTGAACCAAATGCAGGGAGTGAATGGCTCACAGCAAAGGGAGACTATGGCAGAGCAGCGTTTTCCCAGGTATTCCTGCATGCCCTTTCTACCAGGGATAAGAAACTCTCCAGCTTTGCCTGAGCTATAATGCCTGGTGTCTCACAGGAGCCATAAGACAAAAAAAAATCCTCCTTCCCAAAGAAGAAAGCCCCTCAAGCACAAGAATATTCAGATGAACGTGCTGCTCACCAGTGCCTCATTTGCCTGCCTGGCTTCATCTTCCAGCTGGAAAAGACGCCTTTCCAGCTCTTCTTTGGCTCTCTCAGCTTCTTCTCGGAGCTGCTTCTCCCTGGCCAGCCTCTGATTCTCCATCTGGGAACAGGAGGAGCAACACCACGCTTGTGGGTTTGCAGCAGAATCCCACCTGGGCCTGAGGCAGCGCAGCAAATGCATCCAATGAAGAACAGGCTGCTCTCTGTCTGGGGCACTGACAGTCACCAGAGATGCAGTGAGGAAGCTGCTTGCACTTTGCAGCACTGAACTCCTCTAGCAGGTAATACTGGTTATTTCAGACTGCTGGAAGAGCCCTTGGATTGATGTGTTATGTACCCCAAATCTTTGCTATCACCTATTCAGTCTCACAAACAGGACTGACATCCTCAGGTGCCACACACACGCTGGAGCTGTTCCCACATTCAGTCCTGCTGCACTTTCTCACCTCCCACACACACAAGGCATGGGCAGCGAGGGCACCAGCTGGAATAATAATCACTGATTTCAACAATACAGGAGCAGAAAGAACCTACCTTTTTTCTAGCTTTTTCTTCCTTGGCTTGTGCTTTCATTTGCTGGATCTCTATTGAGTCCACTTTTCTTCTCCTCATAAATAGGTCATGGTTTCCAATGCACAACTGGAAAATCTGGAGAGGAAAGGTAAAGCAAATGTGATTTTGATGTACTTGTGCCCCAGCCAGAGGGACAAAGAGCCCCACACTGGCCTCACTGGACAAGTCAAGATTTCAGCACAAATGCTGGCAGTTGCTTCCCTTCCAAGTAAATCAGCACCAAGGCAGGCTCATATAGCAGTTTAGATAAGTTTGTAACAAGATGAGAGATTCCTTCTGTCCTTCATCCTTCTCTCATCCCACCCCACACAGGCAGCTGCTTCTGCAGTGCTTTGCACTTTGCCATACACCACATCCTCCCCTTCCAGTATCTTTTTTTCCCTTTGTGATTTGGGCCTTCTTTCACATTTCACTTTTCACTCACCATCTCCCCTTTCCAGAGAGGGCAGAGATACTCTCCCTGACTCCCTAGACAGCACAATTTCCATGAAAACACGTTGAAATTCAGTGTTCCCTTACTCTCCAAAGGTTTTACAAGCAGTGTTTCTCACTCAGGTATCAGCCAGTATTACCAAGTTCAGATTTAAAGAAGAAAAGCAGAACACTTACCAATTTGTTCACTTTGAGTTGAGAGGAAAAGAACTTGAAGACTTCTGCTTTTTTGTCAAGAGGTTTGATAGTTAACTATACAGGTAAAATTAAAAAAAAAAAAAAAAAGGAAGCACAGTAAGAAGGAGAAGAACAAAGCTGAAACTTAATACTAATGCAAACTTTAGCTCATCTCCACTTCTTTCCAGGGAAGCAGCGATTTATGCCACAAATGTGGGGAGAGTGGTGCAAAACTGTTTGGCTCCAAAGAATCAGAATCAGGGCTGTTGTTGCAGAGGTTCCTCTGCTCCCATAGTGGGCTCTGTTAGAGGATAAAGCCTCCCACAGACCCACCCCAGTGCCAGTTTGGATGGTGGTTTTCATAACACCACCACCTGTGCACTGCACACTACAAGAACTCTGGAACAAGCACTGGTTATCAGGAAAACAGAATACATTACTAATCCCCAGAAGCAGTCACATTCTTAAAGTCAGGGAGATGCCAAATACCTCTCAGAATACCAATCCTTGCAGGTACAATAGCAAGGGCCTAAAGGACTTGTTCCTCTGACCAGCAGGTAACAGTCCTGGAGCTCCTGCTTTCTCACTTTTTCAGTCCATCCCTCAAGCTGTTCCCAGAGGACATGAAGGGCTTTCATGCTGCCAGGTCAGTACAAACTGCTCCACCTCATACCTTGGGCTGGGTTTGGCTGCATAACAAAATATGGCTCCATTCTTTAAGACCCTGTCTACTGTGACTTGTGGATTAGTGTGGTGGTTTAGGAATGGTATTCTCCAGAACCAGGACAGTTAGACAGCACTCTATTCCAATAACTCATTTGCAATGAAATGTGTGATTCCAGGGCATCTGAGTCACCAAGATCATGAGGTCCTACAGCTCATTTCACCCCATAGGTAACGACTTGTGAGGAGTAAGGCTGTGATGTGTCACTAAATATAGTAGAGATTTAGCACAGGGATGCCCAATTTCCCAACAACAGGGAGTTAACACAGTTCATTCACACACCTGAGGGGAAGTTTATTGTTAGCAAGGACCAAAAACTCTTTGGTGGCAGAAGACCTGCAGGGCTGCCTGATTTAATGTACGTGCACCTAACTCCAAAGAGCAAATCTCATCTCAATGTTTTCCAAAAAGCCCAGAGAAAATTGGGAAAACAGTGTGCTGTCCTTTGGCTGACAAACTCCAGGTATGCCAGTTCCAATGTAGTTTTCCTAATTTTGTTTCTCTGATTATAGCCTTCCATGTAGCCCACAATTTGTAATGAGAATAAATTCTACCCACTCTCCATGGTACTTCCTACGAGTAAAAGCTCTGAAATCACAGGGAAATTGCAATGGTAGGGTTGTGCTGGAGCCTGACATCACACACTGACAAACTGGCAGAGTTCAGGCAGAAAAAAATGGATCTCTCCCTGCATGTCTCCTCTTGCCACTGCACTTCAAACCCCAGCTACAAGGAGGTTTTCCGCCGGGGAAAACGGCATTAAGTTTTTATGGATCATCGAATTCCCACTGGGATAACTGAGGAAGCCAGTCACAGTGGCATTCGTAAAATCTATCTTTTTCAGAGATCAACACACTTGTTTTGCAAAGGACAAGCAGCAGGGAGGGAACCAGAACAGAGTGTGAGAGCTCAGAGCAGCCCCCAGCGCCTCGGGGAACCGAGGTTACAAGCACATCTGAAAGGCAGGTCTGTTATTTTTAGTTTTGTAACAAAGCTCCCCAGGATTTTCCCCTTCTCCCCTAAAATTATTTAAACAGAGAAAGCTTTCAGCCTGTTCCAAGAATCCCAGTCCACACCCATATAAAAAGAATAATACATCAAAGCCATCCTACCTCTTTCTCACTATAGGAAATGTTTCTGATAGCGCTCCACTCAAACGACTTGTTTGGAGAGAACCTGTTATTAATGCTGTAGATATGAATACCTTTGGCATCAACTCCAAGCAGGAGATCTGTGTGGTTTTTATTTTGCTAAGAAACAAGAGATATCAGTAAATGGCATTTATGGTGACATTAAACAACCACAGGCAAGAACCACACTTGTTTTAATGCATTGATATTTATCTGTATTTTTAGGAAATTGGTGTTTCTACAAAATATAGAGAATGTTGTCACTGCTACCTGATAACCCAAGTCCTCTAGGTTGACTACAGCGGCTTAAACTATTTCTCCTTCTTCCTATTTTATATCTGGAGCTACTCAAGACCTTTGTCTGATTGTAAAACATTAATCTTAAATGTTTTATTCACCGACTCCTTTAGCAGGCAAGTAAAAGTCAGGACAATCACTACACAGCCCACCATCAGCAGGGAAAAGCAGAAGTTAGGAAACCCAGTTCCAAACTCCCCAGAGGATTTTAAAAGAACAGCACCATCATCTACAGCAATTGAAAACTGCTAAAATAAGGCACTTACAGCAATTGGAAAATAATTGACACCATACATTTCCAAGTCTTGGGCAATTTTCAGGTAGTTCATCTCAGCTTCATCCCTAGAGAATAAGGCCATGATTATAAGATTCCTTTCTAACTTCTCTTTCCTGGCTGGTTCTACATTCCCCACTTAGAAACGAACAGGCAATCTGGTCCTTTGTACAAACTTACTTAAATTTTGCCATCTTGCTCTCAACAATAGAAAAAGGATAATAAAACCAGCATCTCAACAGAAAAAAGACAGTAAAGTTGCACCTATTTTGATTCATGAATCAAGTATAGTGTAATCTTTATTAAAATTCAAGTCCAGTCTTATCCTTGTGTTAGTTTTCCCACTCCATCATTATTATGTCTTGGAAACCTACCCTGCTATTGTTTTCCTTTACATGAATGTATTTCCTTCAGGAAATAGAGTTCATTGAGAAATGAGTCCTGAACAAACTCTAAACAGAGCTTATGGTCGAGGCCAAAGAAGGGTCTCTCCACCCACTTTTCTCCTCCCTTCAAGGTGAGGAATCAATAGGTCTTGAGGAAAATATTCAATAAAAATAGTGCTAAAAAGCCTCTTGAACAGCCAAAGAGAAATTGAGCCCAAATATTCAGAGAAGTTGCTTTTGGGTGCCAGCAGCTCCTATTTCTCATTTAATTGAATTTCTGGACGTGCTGAATGTCTTGAAGTAGCTGAATGTCCACATGCACCAAAGTCATGATGCAGTGTCTTTACTGTTTTGCTTCCTTTCTAAGTACACTGACACCCTTTTGAGCCCTGGTTCTCACAAAGTATAAAACATATCAAATTCGTTGTTTTTATTCTAGGAGGAGACTGGTGTGATCCAGCTCCAGAAATGCAGCTCCTGCACAGGACAGACATCAGCAACTCCAGGAAGCAAATGGCCTTAAATGAAAATGCAAAACTCTCAGGGCTACCTGCAGATTCAACACAACTCACCCTCTGCAGGAACTTCTCTCTGCTGGCATATATGGACTAGGAGGCAGGACTCCACTTTCAGAGGTATCGGGTTATGAAGCTCTGCAGGAGCCCTCAGCTTCTCTGTTCACCTCAAAGCAAGTCCAGTTTAGCACCTGGAGCCCTACACAAGACACTTTTTAACCCCAGATGAGCTGGTGCTTTTATCCTTAGTGATAAATTAATTAACACAGCTGGGAGACCAGTATTTCTTTGCTCACTGTACAAGAGCCAAAGTTCACTGTAGACAGCAAATAACCAGTGACTGAAATGTGTGGGATTTCCAAAGAGTGCAATGATTTCAGTACCTGGCAATACCCCTGTGCTCAGCATACCAGGCAGTGATCTTCTCTTCCCACATCTCTGCTGTCAGCTGGTACTGCCTGAGGACCTGCAGAGAAAGGAAGAAGGTTGGTTTCCTTTGAAGATCCATGTGCTGCCTCTCCCAAGCAATGTGAGTGCAGCAATGCAGTTCCCAGCTCAGTCACTTTGCACAGTTTCTAATGCTCTGGTTAATCCACAGCAATATTTGTGTTGCAGAGTAGGTTCAAAGATTTGGGTTTATATAGAATAAAGACTTACCCTTTTGGGTAAAAGCTCATCATGGGCTAGAAAGCCTGGCTCATGAAAATTTGGGTCGTAGTCACCATACTGTGGCAAGAAAGGAGAAGATCGTTCAGGTTGTTGGATGCAGAATGCTGAAGAACTTGTTGCTTGTGTAGTTTAATGTGATTGCTTGAGACAGATTTTATTTTGGTTCTCTTGTATACAGGGTAACAACATAACCAGGCTCCTCTCATCTGAACAGTCCATGAAAGTTACTTCCAGGCCTCGTGTTATGCACCTGGTTCCAACACAGCCACTAAGGTGGCTCTAAACTCAGACTTCAGTCCTAACCTGTGGCTCTTGGAAACTGCAGGAAGAAAGGAATCTCCCATGACTTCATACTCTGAACCAGAGGAATGTGAGCTCCCTTATTCCTGCAGTCAACTGCACATCAGCTGAGCTGCTGCAGAGGGTCAGCCCTCCTAAGAAATTGTGTTCACCTCCTGCCACTGGATGAGTTTGACCCTTGGTGGCATGAAGTGAACTATGTTCTGAGAGATACTAAAAAACATCACCATTGTGAGCACCTTCTGTATCCATGGCTATTTTTTAAAACAACAAGAAATAATTCTAGCTGGGAGAAAGATTACATTAAAATGTGAAGTCCAAAGCAGTCCTCTAAATTGTGAAAGCACAGTATAGAAAAAAAACCCTTGTAGTGGCATCTAATGCTTATTTTTCTAGCTGTGCCTGTACCTCCCAGGATGACCTACTTCTTTCACAGGAAATTTTAACGCTGCTGTGTTTTACACACCACCAGGTAGATGTGTTGGTTAAAAAAAAGAAAAAATAATCCATAAAAGAGACCTTCTATGCACAAACCTTGGCCTGAACAGCATAAGAAGCCAGTAAAACTGTTGCTTCTGGTGAACAATAGATTTCCTCATCCAGTATTTGTTTCTTAACCTACACCAACAGAAAAAGGGAGCAAGTTAAAGAAGCTCAAAATCAGGACTAATGTAAGGCTTGAAATGAAACTAGACATGCCCAGACCATAACTTGGCACCAAACATCACCATTATGAGTTAATAACAGCAGCAATAAATTGGCATTCAGGAACACAGGAAGCCTTTAGTTAACATTGCATTTAATGAGACCAAAAATGCCAGTCAGCTATCTCCACACAGTTATATAAGGAGTCCTGTAAAAGAAAATGTTATCAAACATGATTTTTATTGTCTGCACTTCATTTCTTTTAACAATCCTTTTTCTTTCTGCTTTGGAAAAGTTAGCTTTAGACCATGTCAAACATCAAATTTTAGGTTGGAAGGGAGCTCTGGAGGTCACTTGGGACCTACTAGACCAGATTGCTCAGGGCTGACTGGTATTGCCATGGACATACTGAAACCATAATAGTATGTTCTCAAGCTTTCCAGAATGAGAAAAATAAAGGAGTCCTAAAAAAGAGAAGCTAATAGAGCACTAATTTATTCCATTTCAGCAGTCTAAGCACAATAAAACCATAGGGACTTAAAATAAAAGCCCAGTATAAATGGTAAAGGGTTCTTTTAACATTCTTTTCATTTTAATAATCTGTGATGCTACCAACACCAGAGGTGTGATAAATTGTTTGTGAGCTTTTGTTTTATTTTAAATCAGTTGTGCAATTTTTATTTGAAAACCCAAAGAGGGAAGGGGAAATTAATCTTCACAAATCCTCCTCTCAGGTGTAATGTTTTTAGCCTAATAACAAGCACAAGACAACAAAATTTCACATAGCACACAGACTTAAACATTTCCAAAAGGAAAAATTACTTGTGATAGCACCAAGCTATCTTTACAAATACACCCTGGCACTGCAGGTGCTGTGAACTGAAATGAACCATCAAGAAAGTTTTTCTTTTAAATTTAGTCTCTGGTGAGTCCAATGTATGAACCTGAGTTATAGTACAGGGAAAATTCTTTCTAAGCTGTTAAAATGGAAAGAATGAAAAGACCGACAAGACTTCTCTTCCAATTTGGAAAGCTCCAGCTTTCATACTCCGTGGTGCATATCGTGTTCCAGAATTTAGAACAATGTAGATAAATCCCCCATAAGTGTCTGGGGTTTTTTTCTGATCAGATTTTACAAGGACTTTTTGTTAAACTTCGTAAAGAAGGAACAAATTACCTAATCTTTAAGCAGACAACATTTAACTTCAGTCATTTACATTGATTCAGGAATTTTGCAGAAGGCTGTTATGCCCCAGTAATTTGCAAAGGTCTGAATAGTCAGTAGAGCTGAAATCTGTAGGCATCCAGATGTCTGTACATGTTTTTCCTATTAGCATCCAGGTGTGATCTTAAGTTCTTACAGTCAGGAAACCTTGCAAGTTCAAATTTGTTTCAGTCTTGTTTTCCTACTTCGGAATGACAAGAATTTGCTAATTGCATATCTGCTAGTCAAGGCAGGTTCAAGCAGAAAAGAAAAAAAAACAGTGAAAAAATCAGGATTAAAAGACTAGGAAAAGAGTTCTGCCCCTCTCATTCGTTTCCAAAATTACCTTAATAAGCAAATTTCCAAGTGGTTAAGGGTTCTGGATGAATTTCTGGTTAGTGAATTAACCCTCAGAACAGCATCATCTTCCCATTATTTCATTAACACATCCTCCTCAGGGAACAAGGGTATTTACTGTGTTTGTCTACAGCTGCAGGCTGAATTTGTTCCATACACCCAAGCTACCTGCACAGACACATCCTGCTGAAAGCTACCGGAATAAAGCACCACACCAGAAGGCTGAAACTTCCAGAGGGACTTCCCAGCCACTTGGGAGGGAAGGGGGATGTCCCAGACATCGGAACAAACAGTTGACCAACGAGTGACCATCCAAAACTCAATGCCTGTATCCCATTGCCTGTTGCTGCAGTTGTGGAGACACAGCAGGGCTTTCCCTGGGCGATGCATCTTTATTTTGGTGAAGCTCCAAGATTTTGCTCCTTCATCTACTTTTTAATGGAGCTGAGAAATTGCGTCCGCTGTCTGTTCCTTTCAAAACTTGCTAGACGAACAAACCTGTGTTTCAGAATGGCTGCCAAATTCTATGCTCTTTTACCCCTACAATCCAAAATGAAGATTTGAGAAAGCCATGTCAGGGAGTGCTTGTTTTCTCGTGGTTTTGCTTTCTACAGTCCCGCAGAAGAAGATGTCCCAATAACCACCAGGACTATTTTTAGGAACTCACGAGTTTTAGTTTCAGGGATAGGCTGTAGCCAAAGGTCTTGTTCCATCTGCTGCTGATATGGGTGAAAAACCTTACTGTCCCCAGCTGCTTATTACCATTCTTTCCCTCTCCTCCACAACTGCTTCCACAATTGCCTGTGCAGTCACTCCCCCACAGCCCGTGGACATCTAATAACAGGGCTCTTCTAATTCTGCTCATTTTGAAAGAACAGGGTTAGGGAATGGTTACACAAGAGGTTACACCAGCAGGTCTAAGATGACAGTGACAAGGAGCTGTTGAGACTCTCTTCATCCACCTTATCTGCAGCCAGAGCAGATCAGGTGACACAGTCCTCAAGACAACTTCTTCAACTGACAAAAAGGATGGTTTCACTTACACTTCTCAGCACTGACCAGTTAGGGCAGAAGCCTCACAGTTCTCCAAGCAGTGCCAGCCTTGCATGGATTTTTTAACAAATACTGTAGGAGTAAAACCAAGTCTGGAATATCCAGATGTGGAATTATCACCCAAACTGCTAGGTGTAAAAGTCATTTTACATGAAACTTCGGGTTTCAGTAATTTAACTCCAATTCCCAGCACAGAGGGTAAGAGAAGCCATCAAGAGAACAAAAACCTACAGAAGGCAAAACATTCAGCTCACCTGAACAAAACCACAGCAGTCAGGAGAGATGTTTGTATTTCATAAAATTAAAATATTTAGAGAGATGCTGATACAGCTGAAGCAAGTAAAATCATTGAGAATAACAGCTGCCAACAAGATCAAAGACAATACAAAAGGACTGGGGTAAATACAGAAGGAATTCATGGTTAAAAATTATTTCTGACCTGAAGGAAGAATAAATGCTGGGTAATTTCCTGTAATAGTTCCTCTTCTACCTTCTCTGGGTAGAATTTAGCCAAAAAATGAAAGCTAATGGGATCTTCTTTGGGGATTTCTTGATCTAAAACCTGTTTACAGATAAAATAAAATCAGCAGCGAAAATGATACATAAGTGTCTCATGATAATATTCCCAAGGAAAACCAGAAAGCAGCCCATAATCCACTTAAAGCAGCCTTCCCATATTTTAGCAGGAAGGGCAATGCTGAGTTTTAATCTAAGAGCAATCAGTGCATATAGTGGTGATTAGTGTGTGAGGCTCCAGGTCACATGGGATAGAAGCCACCAGACCAAATAATACAATTTTATTCTTAAAAATGTAAAATTATGAGTTGTCACACAACACATTCCTTTAGCTCCTGTGCTAGAAAAGGTGAATCTTTTTTATAAGTAACTGCCACACTGTAATATTTTGTTTCCTATACCTTCTTGTCCATCTTTAGCCAGGTGCACATTCCTTTAATTGTGTACTGCAGGCCAAAGAACCAAGTCTCCCTTAAACCAAGGGCTCGGCACACCAGGTCAAACAAGTCCTTTCCCTTCCACTTCATCTAAAAGAGAGAAAGAAAATTAAGAAAAACAGGTATTTTAACACATTAATATTACTATATTAACATATTAAATGAATTTTTTTTCCATTTGTCTTTCTCCTGGGAACTCTGATTTCACCTTTAGATTTTCAGTGAAATATTCCTATGGCTGTATAAGAGTTACTGTGCTCCACCTCCTCTCCTTCTCCTCCAGAGACACATCCACAAAGCAACTGGAGTTATTTAGCCACAACAGCAAGAACTCGAGGAGCAAAGGGGATGAAGATTGTACTATTGATTTCCTAGGACACAGCAAGGCTTTATTAATATTTGTTAGAAAAATATTACTCAATAGTTTACACAAACTGGAGAGAGTGAGGGAAGGCCAGGGGAAATCAAAGCAGTGTCAGGGCACAGGTTAGGAATGCTGAACAAGGAAAGCAAATCCACCTTTCACACACCTCAGGTATTTCAGTGGCACCAGGCCAAGCCTTTATGCTCCTCTGATTTAAATGAGCAGGAGCCTGTCTTCTGCAGCAATTTAGTAGCCTGGCTCCACAGAGAGAAAACTTTGATTAAAGGTCCCAGATTCACAGACATGATCCTCATTTTTTTTTTTTTTCAAAGAGGCTGCACATCTGTTTCATCTGTTTGTCTACATGTTAAAGAGATGGTTTTGTCTAATTGCCTGGGTCAGCCACTAAAAACTTAATGGCAATTAAAAAAAAAAAAAAGTGAACTTTTAGGCAGTATTTGAGTGGAAAGCTGGAAACCACCCCAGCAAAAGAGCAATATCTGAGGAGAAGGGAGAGATAGCAAAGGAAGGAATACATTAAGCTGGATTTGTTAACCAGGACTCTGATCTCTAAAGCAAAATTTCCAAATCCTTTATTTTCACAACTCAGCCTGCAAGAACTCTAGATCAGTCAAGTCTCATAAAAATTGCCAGTCCCATTGGACCTCAGTTTTGTAACTCCTCAAAATAACTGTATGTCTTATTTTGCTTTTACTGGATGATTAGGAATTAATCAAGCACAGTTGTATCTCCTTGACAGTGCAGCCCAATTTATTTAGCAATTGATCACTTGCTATATTTTATTCGAGTCATGATTTCTCTAACCAATTTACTAGATAGCCATAACTAATAGAAGAAAAGCCAGCTTTTTCATTTGATTCTTTTTCTCTTTGCCCAGAGATACCAAACAGCCACTGCAGTTAAAGAAATAAACTGGAGTTTATTGGCCAAATTGAAGAAAATGTCCCAGATCAACTGAGCACAAAAGATACCAGTTTATAAATTATTTTATAAGTAACATCTTAGCACCAGCTTTAACCAGATTTCTTCATTTAAGCTGGTAGTGTCCTAAAGTGTTGTGTCACTTATAAAAAAAATAATTTTGTGGAGAAGTAGGAATACTTACAAACAAGGCCTGCATTATGTCCTGGAATGCTTATGAAGAAAACAAACCTACTGCTAATTTAGCTGTGTCAGCCACAGGGATTTCATGCAAAGAGCTTTAAATTCTGAATACTTTGTTTTACAGAAGAAAGCATCTGAGACTAAGTAATCCAAAATAGATCAATTTTAAGACCATCCATGAACAGAAAATCTGAACTTTCAGAATTTCTGCCTTGCTAATACACAGGTCAGTCCCCACCTTCCCAACATTCTGACACTCTTACCTCACAGCTGAACTCCATTTCAGCATCCACTGTTATAATTTTGACTTTAAAAGTCTTTGGCTGTTTCTTCTTCAGGCCTCGGATGGACATATTTTTCAGTTTATGAGGACAGCCACACCTGAAATCAAACATGCATTACACTTAGGGATGGAAATTCAGCAACATTTTCTTGGCTAGACCCCAAAGTAGGATGAGTTCAAACAGGCAGAATTAAATCACCTTTAAATATGCATTTCTGTGTCCAAGACAGGAAGAATATTGAAACAAAAAATACAGTTCGACCGTTAAAATTAGCGTGCTCCTTAAAATAAGCTGCTCAAAAAAAATGTCATTGCTGTCTCTTCTCAGACCTTGGCAAATTGGTCTGAGGTCTGGGTTCCTACAGTACTAGACAGAGCATCATTCAGGGCTTATATTGCAGGATCCAGCCATGGCTGAGGACGTGTAGGGAAGCTCAAATCCAGCCCTCGTGCTCCATACAATCAGCCACACCCCTGCAATCAGGAATCTCTTGCAACAAAACTCTGCAGTGGATGAGTGTTTAGTTTCATAAAAGTAATGCCTGGCTTTTGAATAATGCCAACACAAATATGACATTCTTCATCCATCCCCATCCAAGAAAAAACTCCCTTTCTCAAAGGTCAGGTACCAACACCAAATGCATCTACACTCAGTAGAACACCACAAAAATGCAGCAAAACCTTATGATGTCAAATCATCAGCTCAATCCTGTTCCATCAGTTATGGCTCCTTGAGCAACTAACCTATTGGATTTCTTTATAACATGAGATCTCAACGCCCTGAAATGATACAAATGCCAAAAATACATGCAGTGAAATTAAGCTGAATTTACCACATTCTCTTGGGTTACCAAACTCACAAGGACAAGTTATTTAGAACAGAATTTTTCCCAGTGAAGTTCTTGTGAAATGAATTTAATTTTGTCAAAGGTGACAGAAAATTCCTTCACAAATCTTCTGTTCTAAATGCAGTCAACTGCATGCCATTCAAAATATTGATGGGACCTGCTATTTCCACAGCCACAAGGGCTTTTTGTGGATACATTCAAACCAAATATTGAAAGCTGAGGTTAAATGACAGCGTGAATCTGCACTAGGCAGTTCTCAGGTGTTTGTTTCTGAGCACAGGAAATCAGCCTGTAAAGTTCTTTCTTCTTTTTAGTTTATAAAATTAACAGCTCAGACTTGCACGACCCAGTGAGTATCTGTGAACTATACAGGGCAAGAGACTGAGGGATTCTTGGTTTCCTACAGTATAAGACTATTACAGTGTGGCAGACTTCCAACCTCTCCTTAAGAAATTCCAAAATAAAGCTCTGGTTTAAACTGAAAAGTTCCATTTGCCTGAACCTTCCAGGATTTTATAAAATGCCTTGCCCCCTTCTTTGCTCCTTCTGAGTTCTAAATTGGCTTGCAAATGCAGTGATTATTTTCCACTTGCTTCGTGCCCCTCATACAGAAATTTTAAGTAGCTAAATAGACAGTAAAATCCATATGGAAGCTTTTCTTTTCAAACTGTAGGGAAGCTGAGGCAGAGAACACATGGGTTAGTTACCAAATCATATGGACATCAGCAGCAGAGGTGAGAACAGGGGCTTGAGGCAACTCAGAGAGGGGAAGAAAAGCTCGGGAGGAAATTCATCTTTCTGACACCAGTGAGAGCAGCTGAGTTCTCCTCTCCCTCCAGCTGGCTTTGGTAGAGCTTCTGCTGAAGTCTTGTTTGGTTTTGGGGCAACACACTTCTGGAAGGACAATGTGCTAGCTGGAAACAGTCCAGAGGAGAGATCCAAGGGCTAGAAAATCATCTGTGGTAAAATGAAAGTACTGGTTAGTACAGAGAAAGGACAGGTGTGGCGAGACATTATAATGTCTGCTCTTCATGAGCACAACAATCAGGACAAGGAATAATGGGCTTCATTAAGGTGCAGGCAGGTTGCACACTGAGGAAAAAAAAATCAAGAATAACAAGAATATTATGATGCTGGAAAAGCATAGAATGGCATTTCTGTCTTTCTGAATTTCTACCCAAAACAGTGTGACAGCTTCTGCTCTCTCCTGAAGACTGGAGGGACCTACAATCCTCAGAGTATTCCCTCCAAGTTGGTCCTTCTGCCAGGACCCACCACCAGTCCAAGGGGAGGCCAGTTCACACCAAGAATCAGTGTAACCCAGGGTGCTTCAGGGATGGGCACATCCTCAACCCAAATCCCATCAGCCCCAGGGTACCCCCTTTCTCCTCAGAGATTACTTATTCAAGCAAGTGAAAAGCAGACCTTTGCCACAGAGTTTGTTTCCTCTATAATTTAGGCAACACCCCAGAGCGCACAGCTCACCTCCTTAGCACAGAAAAGTGCTTTCAATTAAAGGGAAAGGAATATTAAAAACCAAAAACTGACCACAGCAGTGTGGTAACGTGACCACAGCAATATTGACACCGAGAGCATCGTGTGAGGGCATCCAAACCAGCAGGAATTACCCCAGTAACTTTTTGATCTCTAAACTGCAAGATGCAACACAGCTCACAGCAAAATCAAATTTTAACCTGTTGCATTCCAAAGGTGTTTTCTGTCTAGTTTTCTTCAAAACCAGAGGCTTACTGTGAATGATTGTACCATGGGATACAGCATTTATAGCAGGAGAACTACAGACTTCTGTACAGTATTGGAAATATCCCCTTCTTCTATTTGTTCTAAGAATGACCAGTGGCTGAAGACAAAGGAGAAAAAAGGTTCATAATTCATTTTTAATATGTAACTTGAAACAGCCAGTTGAATTCAACAGGAACTTGGAGTTAGGGCCAGTACAGAACATTCTGAGAGTTTCATATGGAAAACTCTGAACAAACGAAATCTAACAACTGCAAAGAAATGTACTAATTTTCTCAAAATATGAGAAAAATACCAGAGCCCTTCATTTTTACTTTGAAGTTCTTTCATTTTTCTTATATAACCTTGTTGAAATGACAATATAATTTGTTCAACATTTCCAATAGCTGTTTTTTTTTTTCTTTCCAGAATTTTTATTCCATGGAAAAGTACATTCTGACTCACAGTGAAAAGACATTTTTGAATATCAAATTTTCCCGAGAAAAGTAAACTGCATTTTAATCAATAGCACTGGTAAAGAAATTGGAAATGGTATTCACACTGAGCAGCTTAAATGAATGTGAGATACTGACAACAGAAGTAAAAGCACTTAACAGTCCAGTTTTTAGAAAAATAACTTCTTCAAATAAGAGAAATCTTGCTGAAAGAGACAATCTGGGTTTGCAATCTTTTGGTTAATGCAAAAGCAATCCCTGCTAACAACAGCATTTAACTGTGAATCATGTGCAATGTGCTTCAAGATAGAGTTTCTGACACCAGGCTCCAGGGATTTATTTCTGCACTTGCCACAGGGATCCAGGCTCGAGACCCAGAAGCAGCAGAATGTGATAGATCAGAGCATGTCATAACCTTTCCAAAGAACGTATTAATCCAAAATAGGAGGGGGTGATAAAAGATTCCTGTCCAGCCAGAATCTGGGAACAGACAGTTCAGAAGCTGTGAACATCCACAGCTCCTCCTGCACTTTGTGGACACCAACAGGGAGATGATAAAAGCTTTGTGTGATGAGGGGAACAGAAAGGCAGCGCTGAGGAACAAAATGTGCAGGAACCAAACAGCCCCGACTCTGCTTTCAGCGTGTTCATGTCCAAGATGAAAGAAGTGACATCCACCAGCTCTGGCTGGATTATAGTCTTGTCCCTCATGGACAGTGAGAAACCAGGGCCTGAGCAAAATGTGGGGGTGAAAGGGAAGCTGGGAACAGCAGGGAAGAGCAGGAAGAACTGGCAGGGCAACTCTTGCAGGGACTGATGCTTATCTGTATCACAGCACCAGGTGGGCAGCGAGTTACACCACAGTGCTGCACTTGTATCCCGATGGGAAATAACCCACACATCAGATACCACTGACTTACAGCATTCTCTGACAATTGCAAAGAGAAAAAAACCGTTGAATCAGCATTCCCCCCACCCAAAGTTCAATAACTCCACCAGAATTCAGTACCTTAGAGACAGCCACAGAGAAATACCTCAAGGAACAAGCTGCAGTTAAACCTGCCCAAGAGTTGAGAGTACATTTTATTTCCAGTTTAGTATTTCCAAGGTGAATGGATCGTTTTTTGCAGGGCTCCCCACCAGATATAAAAACTTCCCTTCACAGGGCACTTGCTCTCAGTGACAACTGTGTGTGAGCTGTTCCCACCCATCACACTTTGGTCACACACTGCCGTGAAAAAGCAGCTGTTTTCACACACACACAAAAATCAGCAGCACTTTTTAAGGTGAGAACTCCTCAGTCTCAGCTGCAGATAGGCAAGGAATTAATGGCAATTGAGACCCCTCTCTTACACCCCCTAAAGCAATTTGCCCTTAAGGATCAGCACATGCACAGGGGCAACAACTGAACCAGCTGCCTCCGAAGTCCTTACAGGAGCTGAAAATACAAAACCCTTGGGAGTGCAGTGAGGATGAAGGAGACAAGGCTTGGGAAGTACTTTAAGAGCCACCACCAGAAGATGCTTGAAGCATCAGCTGCAAAAGCACATTAACATAGATACTACAATTCGAAAGACTCCTGTCATCACTGAAATATTTACTGCAGCTCTGAGTCGCAAATTCCCCTGACTCATTATGCTTCTCCCAGTTCCTGAATTTCCATACTTTAGCTCGGAAATTAATGCAAGCAATTTGAATGCAGACAACACAGGAAAGCGTTGTGGGATTTTTACAGTTGTTGACTCACACTCCTGCCTGTGCTCCCTGCCCAAGGAACAATTTAAGCAAAGAATTCACTGTTTTAAAATGGGTCAGCAAGATAAAGGTTTTTCTTACCCCTCAATCTAAACAGAAGTTATCTAAAGTCACCAGTTGGAATCAAGACTTACCTCACAGATCATTTTTTGAATGAAGAAGGAAAAAAAAAAAATTCTTTTTAATCCCAAACTCCGTATTTTCCAGCAGACATCAATACCCAGCCCTCACAAGTTCTGCCACTGAGAATAAAATCCAAGAACAACTTTTCTGCTTGATCCCCTTTCCTTTGTTTCCATGAGCTGCAGCATGTTAGCGCCCTCTGAAAAATCAAAGAATTGCTTTCCCAGGTGATACAAACGGCTCTTAACCTTTTCCTGCCTGCACCACCAAGGCTCCTCCCAGCTCCTCTCCACTGTAATTCAAGTAACAAGGCACTAAAATAAGAGAAGCCAACGAGTCCTGACTTGGATATCTGAAAGAACTGATAATGAACTTCCAAATAACTCCTTTGATAGTATCTGATCAAACTATTTCAACAGTGTCTCCAGCTGTACAAAGAACAGCCTGTTCTCCCCATACCGGCTACCTTTAGAAGGGAAGCTGCACAGAGTTGTCCTATTAAATAAATATGATTCCCTACCTGCCCTCTTCCTGTGGTGAGAGGTGATGGGACACTAACACCAAAAGAGAACAAGCCTGAAAACTGGGCAGCAGCCAAAATACCAGCAGAAAATTATAAATGAACACCCTTAAATAAAAAGGGATGGCCTCAGCCTGAAGTCACAGGGACAGAGACCGAGAGCATATTATCTCAAAGGCAACAGTAAAGTAAAAACTTTTTTTGCCAGTATTCAGTTTATAAGTGATTTAGTCACGGGTTTTTTCCCAGCCCTCCATTTTATATACAGATTTACAGAAACTAATTATCTTCCAGGTTATGGACAGCAAGGACAACAGGCCAGCTCTTACTTTGTATGGGCTATAATTATTCCAGATTTACATGGAAAACCCTCAAGATTTGGCTCATGTACATCAGTTAACAGCAGGTGGAAGAGCACAAAGCTCGTTCCTGTGTGGACACCTCAGTGCCACGAAGAGAGGCAGTGCTGACAGCCAGCTCCATCCTCAAAATTCAGTGTAAAGGGACCCCCTCAGCACTCACCCCTCATCACCTCCAGCCCAACACTTTCCTGCTGCCGGCTTTGTCCAGTCCCACAGCACGTCACTGCTGGATGTGGGCAGGAGACCAATTATTTACACCAAAAATCCAGGCTGGATTCAGCTGTGTGAACCCACAGGGGCCAGAGGCTGGGCAGGGCTCCCCCAAAATAATGGTGCCCTGAAGAAACAGGGTCCAGGCCCAGCACCTGCACCCCAAGCCCTGCTGACTGCAGGTCCTCCTGCATCTCTCAGCTCAGGAGACACAGAAAAAACCATTTCCATCAGGGGCAGTGCAGAGAAACAACCTCACTTTAACAAGGACATTGAGATACTGGAGCATGTCCAGCAAAGGGCATCAAGGCTCGTGAAGGGTCTAGAAAACATGTCTTTTGAGGAATGGCTCAGGGAGCTGAGGTTGTTTAGTCTTGAGGAGGCTCGGGGGGGGGACCTCATCACTCTACAGCTGCTCGAAAGGAGGCTGCAGGGAGGTGGGAGTGGAGTCTCTTCTACTATGCCTGTAGTGAGAGGACAAGAGGAAACAGCCTTAAGCTGAGACAGGGGAGATTCAGATTAGATATTAGAAAATTTTTGTCACTGTTAGGGTGGTCAGGCATCAGAATAGGTTTCCCAGGGAGGTGGTGGAGTCACCATCCCTGGAGGTGTTCAAGAGGCGTCTGGATCTGGCGCTGGGTGATGTGGTTGGGATGATGGTTCAACTGGACAATCATAAGAATCATGAAATACTGAGTTGGAAGGGACCCATCAGGATCATCAAGTCCAACTCCTAATCCTGCCCAGCACACCCCAACAATCCCACCATGTACCTGAGAGCATTGTCCAAACATTCCTTGAGCTCTGCCAGCCTTGGTGCTGTGACCACTGCCCAGGGGAGCCTGTTCAGTGCCCAACCACCTGTTGGTTAAAAAACCTTTTCCTGACATCCAACCTAAACCTCCCCTGACTCAGCTTCACGCCATTCCCTTGAGTCCTGTCACTGGTCACAGAGAGTAGAGATGGGCACCTGCCCCTCCGCTTCCCCTCATGAGGACGGTGAAGACCCCAATGAAGTCTCCCCTCAGCCTCCTCTTCTCCAGGCTGAACAAACCAAGTGCTCCTCATAAGGCTTCCCCTGCAGACCCTTCGCCATCCTCACTGCCCTCTCTAAAGAGACCTTAAAGGTCTCTTTCAATCTTGATGACCCTATGACTCGCTCACTTTAACACCTTCCCCCCAGCGCCTCTGAGGGAGCTAGAGCCGCCGCCTACGCCTTTAAATACCCCGGGAGGCCCCACCCACCGCTGGCCCCGCCCTTCCCCCTGCTGGCCACGCCCCCGCCGCTGGCCACGCCTCCGCGCCGCTGGCCACGCCCCTTTGCCGCGCGGCGCTTCCGTGCCCGGCCCCGCCCATTCCGGGTCCGTCGGTTTAAGGCCCCCGAGGTTCGGCGGCGGCAGCGGTGAGAGGGGACGGGGGGCGGGAATGTGATTTGGGGAGTTTCCTCGGGCTGGGATCGCTCGCCGGGTGCTCTCCGAGCCGCTCAGCTGAGCCTCGCTGCCTGCGAGGCCTCCTGGCCGTGCTGGTGGAACAGGGCCTGTCACGGGGCGCTGTGGGGCCTGGGGGCGGGGAGGGCTGAAAGCTCCCAGTCTGCTGAATTTCCTCTTTTATCCCGGTAGCTCCCGGTGCTCGGTGGGTGCTGCCCGTGCTGTACGTGCCTAACTGTGGTGTTTAGCCCTGGGGCACAGGAGAGCCCCGCACTAACTCCCCCCGTCAGCCCTGTGGACACACAGCAGAGTCAGGGGTGGTAAGAGCAGCCCCAGGTATCGCTGCTTGGTTTCATCTTGTGTGCCTCTGTACCCCTAAACTCTTCTTTGGATGTGTTACAACATCAAATAAAGCACCTTGCAAGCTGTGGTAAGAGAATCCACCTGTGGGTGGAGAATTCACAGGTGTTGGTTGTGCTCAACAATATATATTTGAGTGGGAGAGGACAAGGTCACTGGTCTTTGTCAGTGTTAATGTTGGTTCAAGTCTTCATGTGTTTACCTATTGATTTTTGCCTCTGACTCTTGCAAGAGTATCACAGAAAGCTCTCTCTAATTAAAATAAGGTAGTGGAGTATAATTACTTGCAGGAAAGAACTAACTCAGAAGTGATTACACTTACTACAAGTCAGGCAGCTCTTTGATATGTCACTTACGGCTTGAGAAGCTCATTACCTTTCTTAGGTTTCGTCAGCTCAGCTAACAATGATACACACCAGCAGCAAATGACTCTGAACAAAAGCTCCAGGCTCCCTGTTTGGGTGCACTGTGGTCACACATGGACCTGATGAACAGGTTTGCAGCAGAAACAGCTGCTGGAGCGTGAGTTACATTAATAACTTCCACGTTTCTGTCATGTGTGAGAACTGGTGTGATTCAAAGGAATTTTGTGGGCTTTGGGATAAGGTCTCATCCTTATGGTGTTATGTCCATTTTTATTGCTGTCCTGAAGTAACTTTCCCTGCTAATGAGGACATGTTCATGTCCCTTATATTGTTAAACAAGGCTGAGGTGGTGCAATATGTGAAGTTTGGAACTGTTTGTATCTACCCTTTTCCAGCAAAGTTACCTAATTAAGCTGTCAGTCTGAAATGGGAAAATTTTGGTGTTGATCAGGAACTGGTGATGTTTTTTTATTTTGTTAAAATAGCACCTCTGCTTGCTTGTTGCCAGGCACTGGATGACCATAACTAAACAATGTCTGTCCCACGTGGAGCTGTCCATGCAAAATGGATAGTAGGGAAAGTAATAGGAACCAAAATGCAGAAAACTGCCAAAGTGAGAGTGACAAGGCTTGTGCTGGATCCCTACTTACTGAAGGTAACAGCAGCTGGTTAACAGCTTGTGGGTTTTGTGGAGGAGTGTTCTTTTCATTTGGCTCTTAGAATTTTTGATGACTCTGCAATGCAAACTCCTTAAGAAACTTGCATGAGGATTTGGCTGTGGGGTTGACTGCAAAGGATGAAAAGCACTGTGTGGTGAGGACTTACAAATTATCTGCTAAATGTATTTCTTTGAAGTGCCTTGTTAGTGCAGTTCATTTGATCTCAGCTGAGAAGGTAAAGTTTTTGTTGTTTCACACTTAGGTTTAATTTTTCATGTTGATGTGGAGTATGCTTTGGAAACTTGACATTATGTTAGTCACTTTTACAGTAAGTTTTATAGCTGTTTTTCTGTATGCATAATTGTAGCATTGCTTAGTGTCTGTATCTGTGCTGTGATGTGCTATGCAAGTTTGTATTTATTTCTTGTCAATGCACTTCAAACAAGTATGTTAAAATAATGTTTTCTCAATTTTTATATGGGGAAACTGTGGTACATGGAGGTGGAATAACTTGCCTTTGAGCAGAATGTTAAGGATAGAGTCAGGATTGGATATGGATCTTGTGGAACCCGTGTCAATATTTTATCCAGCAGAAGAACCTGTTAATTTATTTCTCAAAAGATTCCGAATTCTGCTGTACCAATAAGAACAAATATTAGATTTTTATGTGAAAGAAAATGAATTGAGCAAGAAACTTCGAAATCTAATGCTGGGGTTTATTTTTTTTTTCTTTTACAGTTCTTTAACAAAAGAAAAACCTATTTTGCCCACGATCCACTGCAGCAGTGTGTTGTTGGAGACATTGTTCTGCTGAAAGCTCTGCCTGAGAGAAGGAGCAAACACGTGAAACACGAACTGGCTGAAATTGTGTTCAAGGTTGGAAATGTCATAGATCCAATCACGGGGAAGCCCTGTGCAGGAACCAGATTCCTGGAAAATCTGTCAGATTCGGAAAACCTGACAGAGGCAGATACTACCTATCTAAGTGAAAAACTTCAGGAACTGAAAGTTTGTTCAACAGACAAATAGCGGGCGAAATATTTAAGCAGAGGGCTTCCAGCTTGTCTCTCTCTGTCAGGGGTGTTTGAGGCCCTGTTGTGGTATGTTAAATGTTTCAGTGAAATCTGTAGTCAAAATAAATAGTAAATGTAGTTGCTTATGCAAAGAGATGGTACAGATTGATGAGCACTCCAGAGCTTTGAAGGAAAATATAGAGGAAACGCAAGTTTAGTGTTAACACTTCATTTTATTGCCTATAGTTTTGCCACAAGCAGTGACAGTTCCCAAAGCCAGCTTCCCTCCTGGGAATGACTCTTGCGTATTGAGAAAAGAAAATACAACTGTATAATGTTTCATTTTGGTGGGAGGGC